TAAATAAATTTATATTCTTAAAACTATTAATCTAAAATGTTAATATAAAGTAAGTAATAGATTGTAATTTTAAGAGCTATAAATATAATAATACATACCAATAGGAATTTCAACAGAAACAAAAGGTTGACTTGTTAAAGCTGCTAATATAATATAATTAGCTTTATTAAATAAAGAAATAGAGTAATTTTACAATTTACCTTTAATTACATTTGATATTCTTTGTGTATTGATAAGTTTGCTAGTATACATAAAGTCCGGATGTTTTGGTAAAGGAATTGGCGATTCTTTGGCTGCTTTATCTGCTTCTAAAAATTGCATTTTAGTTTCGTTTGAATTATCTGAAGTTTCCATGATCTCATTCCATTTTTTAAGTTTACAATAGATATCCAAAGCTGTAGGTCGTTTTTCTTGATCAGTATCCATGCATTGTTTAGCAAACTCAATATAGCAATTCGGAGTTCCGGGTGCAAATTCAGGTCGCAATCCACGGCAAATATTCACTGCAAGTTCATCAAATTCATATCCATCGAAAGGTCTTTGCCCAGTTGACATCTCTGACATGATAACTCCGAAGCCGTAATATCGGAAGCTTTTGTGAACTTTTGACCTAATAGAACTTCAGGTGCCACCTAAGGAATAACGCCATAAATATTATCTTCCGAATCATTTTCGTTTACCTTTTTGGACAATCCTAGATCTGAAATATAAGATTTTATATTTTCACTAACATCTTTATTCTGCAGAATATTGCCGCTATGAAAGTCTGCATGGATAAGCCCTGAATTATGAATCCAAAATAAGTCTAATGAAATATCTTTAAGTAGGTTTAATTTAGTTTTCCAGGTAAGATCACTAAAATTTTTTCTTAAAAACTTGTAAAGACTTCCATTATCAGCGTATTGAAATACCATCAAGCATTCATTTTTGCTGTTTTGGGTTAATCATATATTTTAAGTTGACTACCATACAAAGTATATTTTGTATGGTTCTCAAACTTTGCAATTAATTAAATTAATTGAATAAATTAATTAGTTTAATAAAAATAGTTGAATAAATTGTTGAATTATATATCTAATAAATTATTGAATTTAGCTTACTTCGTTTAAAGAACCGGACAAAGTTTTGAGTGCAACGGTACTATTTGTTTCTTGTGATCTTTTATAGGAATAGTTGTTATCACCAATTTTAATTTCTTCAATTTTTCGTATACCACCCAGCCAGATTGCTGAATATACCGAGCCGAATCCTCCTTCGCCTATTTTTACTGTATTAATGAATTTGTCATATGGAATCCACTCAATTATGTTTTCATATCTCCAAGTTCTAAGTTGTATCATTTTTATATAACAGTCAATCTCCTTATTTCTACTTGCCATCTTGTTTCTATGTCAGGGTCGCATGATATGTGCCATGTTTTATTCATATTATCTTCATTACAATGTGCACATTTTCCATATATAGAGTGCTTTAAATCAAAAATATAATATATGGTATTTTATTTCATCGGTCATGGTATTTTAAACTTGTATCGAATTTTGCACTTAACGCTAAATTAATGCGAATGAATTGTTTTGAAGGGTATTAGGTAATGGTACAGTAAATAAGTATTAATGTTCTTGATTTGTGAACTTGTTTTTAATTCCAATGATTAATAAATGTCCTTTATACTCACTGAATGAATGATTAATGTGTATGAAATGATTTGAAGGATATTAGGTAATGGTAAATAGTATTTATTTGTGAACTTGTTTTAATTCCAATGATTAATAAATGTTCTTTATACTCACAAACTAAATTAATACGAATGAAACGATTTGAAGGGTATTAGGTAATGGTAAATATTTATGTTCTTGATTTGTGAACTTGTTTTTAATTTGAATGATTAATGCAAATGAAATGATTTAAAGAGTATTAGGTAATGGTTCTTGATTTGTAAACTTGTTTTTAATTGTAATTATTAATAATGTTCTTTATAATCACCGACTGAATGAATGATTAATGCGAATGAAATGATTTGAAGGGTATTAGGTAATGCTAAATAAGTATTTATGTTCTTTATTTATGAACTTGTTTTTAATTCCAATGATTAATAAATGCTCTTTATACTCACTAACTAAATGAATGATTAATGCGAATGAAATAATTTGAAGGGTATTAAGTAAATAAGTATTTATGTTCTTGATTTGTGAACTTGTTTTTAATTCCAATGATTAATAAATAGTCTTTATACTCACTGAATGAATGAATGATTAATGCGAATGAAATAATTTGAAGGTATTAGGTAATGGTAAATAAGTATTTATGTTCTTGATTTGTGAACTTGGTTTTAATTTCAATTATTAATAAATGTTCTTTATACTCACCCACTGAATGAATAATTAATGCGAATGAAATGATTTGAAGGGTATTAGGTAATGGTAAATGAGTATTTATGTTCTTGATTTGTGAACTTGTTTTTAATTCCAAAAATGTCTTACACTTATGGGCTAAATTAATACCAACAATTGATTAATATTTATGACTTAATTGTAATTAACTGATTTTTTTATACTTACTCTCTAATAAATAAAATTGAACTATTAAACTTATATAAAAATATTTTCAATTTTTAAAATATTAAGATTTAAAAAATTAGCTTACCTTTGAATCCATTCCTAAAATGTATCAATTTTTTTCCACACAATTCCGTAATAGTAACAAATACTGTAACAGTTTTTCGAATTCCCATCGAATTACCTGCCTCCGCTGACTTCAAATAATGCTTGAATGCTTTCTGCTTATCGATTTCAACCCCAATTCCCTAAATTATAACAATAACCAACTTGATACATTCCGTCTGAATTATTAAGATCTGCGGATTTTTGATAATAAGCGAATGCGTTGTTTTCATTCTTTTCGACTCCAATTCCATGTTCATAACAACAACCAAGCAAATAAATTCCGTCCGGATCGTTTTTATCGGCTAATTTTTGACATTCATTGAAATTCAGTTGTGTAAAATTTTCTTTTGCCATTTTGATTTGCGAAAAAAAATTATATGTAAAAATGCAACTAACGTTTTGACGATATCGCTGATTTATTTCAGTAGTGGTTATACAACTTCCTAAATTATATCGGTACAATCCTATACAAGGAATAAGCGGCCGAAAGACTATGTACTCAAAAAGGAAAGAACAAACGGCAATCACCTGAAGACGTCGAATACGATTATCCGGACTCTAGAATGTTTGATGGTATCAGAACTTAGAACGTTATGGCCGAATTTGATAATAAACTAAATTCAGTAACAGTTCAAATGCAAAAAAAAAAACTAAGTATACGTAGCCAGATCATAAATTTGAAAGGTCACATGACCAGTTTTAGTATGATACGCTATGTTTTATTGGACTTACAGCCAAGAACAGTTTTTTCGTACAAATTACTGATCTCACAATGAAGTTTCAAACCAGTCAAATAAATTTTACACCTGCAGAGGCTCAGGGCACTCCATCAATACATGTTCCTTGAACTCTTACAAAAATACCAATCAATGACAAGAAAGAAGTTTTAGCTACCATTCTTTGATCTGAATCAAAATAATCTTTCTAAAATTTAAAATTAATGCAAACCATAATTATGTTAATGCTGACTAGGTTTTTGGTATAAAAGTCCTAACTGACATCAACATAATTTTGACCTTAAAGTTGAGATAACTTGCAACATAACTTATATTGTAAGCTACAATTATATAGATTTAATGCTAACCAGAATTATGATAAACTTAGCCAACATTAAACCTAATTTTCTGATAATATAAAGTTAGGGCTTTGTTTGAAAAGAACAATCAATGAAGACAAATTACGAGCAAGGTCGAGCTATTTTTCGAGTAATATTCGGGAGAAGATAATAAATAAAAAATATTAAACTTACGCAAGTACATATAAGTTACATTATTTAAAATTAAACTTACATCAGCTAAAATAACTTACGTAAATTACCAATCCCTATCTGGCCTACACTAACTCTAAACTTTTTACCAGTTATTTTGACCGGGGTCAAAATAGAATTTCCTTAAAAAATATATTCCAATTTTTAAAACAAAATAATTTTATTACTCGTTTTCTTAAAATTAAAGATTTAAAAAAACAATTTGTTTAAAACAATTTTTTAAAAAAATTTCTTTTAAATTGAAGATTAATAACGCGTTATGAATTTAGAAACACCGGTCAATTATATACTAACAACGATATTTTTAAAATACATCCTTTAGCAAAAAATTTGGTAAACTTTGAAACTTACACTTTTTCATTATTCGACTTTATAGAACATACAGAATGCTTTTTATAACTAAAAATTATAAAAACAAGGGTCGGAAAGCATTCTCACAATTATACGTAAAATTTTAGAAGCAACTATACTAAAAGTTTACCCGAGACAAATCGTAATTAGTGATTGTGAACTACTCACACTCACGTTATTCACAGAACTCGCGATACTCAATATAGTCATATAGATCACATTTTGGCTTAGATCACACTCGTAGTATGTAGAAAAGCCTCAACTATACATGTAGAAAATGTATAGCCCAACATATAAAACCCCTCACATCCAGAATTGAAAAAAAAATTGATTATTTTAATGTAAAAGATTACTAATAATGCCAGTTCTGTTCTCGGATCAGATTGTACATACTTGACTAATACATTAGAAAATACATCGACCGGCCAAATTCAATTTGGCACGTTGATATGACGTAATATTTATTTGGACACTAAAAACTTGTCCGCAATGTACGAATAGAGTTTTTAACAATAAGCAGTTTTAATAAAATAATGAAGTGGCAGTTCAACTATTATGAAACAAAATTTATAGTTTCGTGAATTATTCACATAAATGAGAGGACTGGTGATTATATCAATATGTCAATAATTATATAATGACATTAAAAATTAACAATTTTATTTAATAAATTAATAACAAGTTGTTAATTTAATTGCAACATTAAACGAGAGGATAGGTCATATTTTAAGGATATTTCTCCTTATATTGTGTAATTAAACTGATGTATTGAGTCTGAGCATCTTCTTTAGAGAGACCTATGATTGATAATTAATGAGATTGATAATTTCAACAACATATTAGAAATTAGAAATTATTAATAATTAATACCCTTTCTTTTGGACCAAGCCTCCCACTTGGCTTTGGCTTCCTGACTAAAGATACTAGTTGGTTTTGCTATAATTAGAAAGAAGGATTAAAACGTTATTTACGAAGGCAGATAGATGTATGACCTTGAATTTAATATCGTAGACTTACCAGTAGCATTATCACCAATCATAGCCTGTTTGTACAAGCCATACGCATCCAATTTTTCTTCATTGCTAATCTTGTCGTTATGCGTTTTTACGATTGTTTCAAATTCTTTAGCGGCCTGGTCGAATTCTGCCTAGAAAAAAAAGCCAAAAGGGTAAGAAACAATGGAAACAATAACGATAAGTTTATATTTTCTTCACTAAACATACGTTTCCGGACATTTTGGTTAACCAAAGGGTAAAAAAAAAAATTTAAGGAGAATTCCAATTTATATGTATTACGACCAGACAGAATTTAGGGACAGATCATAATCACATGGCAGTATTAAAAAAAATCCCCCCGAATAATATATACGAGGTTAATATAAACTTTTTTCAAAAAATTTTATCCGATTACCAAACATATCAATTCTATTTACGTACTTCTGTTAACGGGTAGAGTACAACGTTGATCATTCCTATATATAAGGCCATACCAAATTAATTAATTGGTTTTCATAACCCGGCCGGGTAGGGATGTTAATCGGTCCTCAGGGATCGAGTCCCAACCGATCCTTGAAAGGATCCGTAAGGACCCGGTCCTTAAATCACATGAAAAAACAATACATTTTATAGGACTTAGATCCTAGACCGAATTATTATAACAATACCAATTAATTTGATTGGATGAACCTATTAGATATAGGATTTAAGTCCTGTATATTGTGTATTGTATTTTCATGTGATTTAAGGACCGAGTCCAGGATCGGAGCGGACCGGATTCGCAATTTAACATCCCTACGGCCGGGTCAAAATTTAAAAACTTATAAAAAAAATTTTTTTAATGTTTTAATAACCAGGTGGGTTTTTAAAAAAAATTTTCAAAAATTTTATAAAATTTATATATGAAAAATTAAGAAAAAAGCTGGCCGGTCGGGTCTGATCAAAAGTTTCATGTTATAAAGACCAAGATATTAAATTTGTGATCTAATTAGTTGCAAAATTTTTTTTTATTATTTTAAAAAAAATATTAAGTAAACAATTTTTTTAATCATTAAGTAAAAGTTGTAGAATAGGTCTTTTTGGTTCTAATGATAACAAAATTATTAAAATTGATTAAAAACTTATTAATATATAAAATTTTTAAACATTAAGATATAAAATTATATGTATAATAAAATTAACTTATTTGTTATAAATTTATATAAATTAGCTAATTAAATTATTTAATTTTGTATTATTTAAATAAAATTTTTTTTTTACCTTTCTTTACTATTCTGAAGGTTCTTAGATATTGTTATAGAACGAATTTTATTATTATATTTTAGTATAGTTTCATGAATATATATTTTATTGTTAGTATTATTATTATTATTATTATTATTAGTATTAGTTATTATTATTATTATTATTTAGTTACTAGGTAGAACAAATCAATTACAGTGCTTGATGCTTGATGCTTGACACTTAACGCTTGATGCTTGATGCTTGATGTTTGACGTTTGACACCTGACATCTGATATTTCACTCTAATAATTATTAAGCTTTGATGCTTAGCTTTAATGATTGTTAACAGATATATAAACTCCAAGAATTTCCTCAAG